GTGGAACCCGGGCTGAGAGGGATACAACATTTCGGCTGAAAGGTCGAGATACTCAATTAACTTTATCTCTCCACTTTGGAATCGAACTGGGATCTCCAGCGTGCGACAGCGATTCGCCTAACCGCTACACCACAGACGCCGGTATACACGTATTTGCATGTGGCTAGAACACTGGCGTGTACATTTAAGTATGTAAATCCTATAAGGCTTATACCTAACACACTGAGAGTTATTTCGATAGGTATGACCATTGGAAAGTAGGGGGTAAGAATCCTCAAAAGTTGCTGGTTGTCAAAAGCCCAAAAATATTTTCAAAAATATATATCTGCTCCATGTCCCAAAGGCAATATTGAGCCCTATTTCGAACCATCATCAAAATATACAAATCAGAAGTACGAATTTGCATATTTCATGGTATGCATGTTATTGCCCACCTTTTAAACTTTTAGATAAGAAAACTGAATTGAAAAATGTGTTTGAATGAACAAAATCATACACCTTTTTAAGTGCCCCAAAAACAGCAAGTCTTCAATCATTGTAGAGTGACCAGAATGTGTGTCGTCAAAGAGATAACCACACGTCCTTTTTGCCACATCTCAGTATAATCACACTTTCACGTGGATACACTGGCGTTTGTGGTGTGGGAGTTAGGCGCTTTGCCGTCGCTACCGGGAGACGTGAGTTCGATTCCCATGTGGGGGGGGGGGGAGGCGGAGTTCTTTATCGAGTATCTCCGTCCGTTTGTCTGCTGGGACCTTGTGTCCGACCTTGGTCTGACAGGCAGGTTCTAAGCAGCCCGCCTCCTTGATGATCAAAGTTATGCAAGTGAAGGAAAAAGACATCTACAATTATCATTTGATTGGTTGGGGGGGGGGGGGCACCGCTAGTAGTCCTTACTAATTCTTTTCTCTCCCATCTACTGTTTGTCCGTGTCTGTCTTGTTTTGTACTGTTTTGTTTGTTTGTTTGTTTGTTTTTTGCTTGTTTGTTGTTGTTGGCTTGTGGGTTATTTTTTGTTATGTGTTTGTTTGTTTTTTGTTTTTGTTTTTTTCTTTGGGGTGGAGGATGTTACATGATTAAGCTAAACAGCCTTTATTGTGTCCTTTTTCATTACTCTAACCCAATCAATCGAATGTTTTGTCTTTTTCCTACCAGGATGGACAGCGCGCTCTGTTCTTCCTTGGCCTGGTGTTCGTTGCTCTGGGCACTGGAGGCATCAAGGCCAACGTGGGCCCGTTTGGGGCGGAGCAGGTGGAGACCATGGGCAATGAAGCCGTGCAGTCCTTCTTTAACTGGTCAGTGAATGAGGTTTTATTGGAACTCCAATATGATTTCATGAAGGTTTTATCACAGCTTCATTGTGATTAAAATCAAATTTAAGAACAATATTTTTTTATGCTGGAGACTTAATAATTAAGCATTTGAAATTTCATGTGATTATGAAATATGTTCAGCGTTTCTCCCTTATGTGCTTCTTCAGGAGCGTGATAAAAAAAAAACAAGCTTTATTATAATTTTATATGATTTCATCACACCGGAATTGTTGTTGTTTGTTTGTTTGTTTGTTTGTTTAGTATAGGGTTTTACGGCGCTCGCAACTGCATAAGGTCATATGAGCGCGCGGGACACACCTAATACTTTTTCGTTGGTAGGAAATTTTGAATTTTGCCCGGGTGGCGGCCGAAGCCTACTCTTATCGATTTTAGACCACCAAGGGATCTTTAACGTGCGCAACTTGCACACGGGCCCTCCGAGATTTTTCACCCTTGTCCGAGAAGGCTAGGTGTAGATCTTTCCTACCAGAAGATCAGGGGTGTGGCAGAAAGACAGCAGTTAGGAGGAGCCAAGGAGTAGCAGTAGAAAGGCTGCAGAAAGAGTCAGGAGCCCAGAGGAGGGGGCAAAGGAGGTGAGGGGGTGGGGGCAGAAAGTGGAAATGAAAGCAGACAACAGAACATTGTTAGAGATCAGGAAAGGATGTGAAAGGAGACAATTTTAGAGAAGAAAAATTTTTGGTCGCTACCCGGAATCGAACCCGGGACCTTTGAATGAGAGGCCAACACCTTAACCTCTAGGCCACGAGAGCCCCCCTGGAATTGTTCCTTTTGATCTATTATGGTTTCGTTACAACTTAGTTATGGTTTCAGTATGATTTAACGATGACTTCCTCACGGCTTTATCATGGTTTTATTAGGATTTATTCAATAAATCTTTCTTAAAAATGTTTCCCCTCTCTCTAGTAGACGCAATGGCTGATTTGACCATGCGTATCAAGTCAAACGCAGAGTTAATTAAGTATAAGCAGAGGGTTTGGTATAAGTACGACCCGGCAGGACAAATCAAGGAAATAGCTGGCGCGACCGGGAGGGGGGGAGTGGGTTGTTGTTGTTGTTGTTGTTGTTGTATCATATATTTTATTGACTCTAAAGATTGTGACTCAGGTTTGAATTCCTGCTTGGTCGAGCCTAATTCTTCAGCTTATTAATAATAATAATAAA